ATCTCAGCCACTTTGCAGTGCATGCAAGTGGAGCTGGGTACATGGGGAGCACGTGAGTTTGGGTGCTTGGCGAAAACAGTTAAAAAACTTCAGAAAAAGCTCGAGCTGCTGCGTGCACAGGCGGTCAGAACGGGGCCGTCAGAAGAAGAGAAGGCCACGGTAATTAAGCTTCGCGAAGCACTTCGTCAGGAAGAAGTGTGGATGCGACAGCGATCATGTGTTCCCTGGCTGCGTGAAGGCGACAGAAATACGAAGTATTATCAGGCTCAAGCAGCTCAGCGGAAGAGAATGAATCGGATCTCACATCTTCAACGTGAGGATGGTTCTATTTGTGCAACGGATGAAGATGATAAAGCCGAGGTTCAGTCGTTTTATCAAGCTTTGTATACTTCCCAAGGATATAATCCTATGGATACACTACTACAGTACGTTCCAGAATGGGTGACTGACGATATGAATAGCTCCCTGGATAAGCTGTATGTGGCTGAGGAGGTGAGGGCAGCCCTGTTTCAGATGGCGCCGTCCAAAGCTCCGGGAGTTGATGGTTTTACAGCAGGTTTTTTCCAGAGGCATTGGGAACTAATTCAGGGTGATCTTGTTCCAGCCATCTTGGATTTTGTAAATGGAGGGGAGCTTCCGCCGGGGTTTAATGATACTTCAATTACGTTAATACCAAAGGTACGCCATCCCCAGTCCATTAAGCAGTATCGTCCCATCTCGTTGTGTCCGATGCCATATAAGATTGCTGCCAAAATGATTACAAACCGGCTTAGAGAATGGATGGACACAGTAGTGGGAGAGGAGCAAAGTGCCTTTATCCCTGGTCGCTTGATAACTGACAATGTGCTTGTTGCATTCGAGAGTGTTCATGCGATGAGGAGAAGGAAGAAAGGAAAAAATTACTCGTGTGCAGTAAAGTTGGACATGATGAAAGCTTACGACCATGTGGAATGGCATTATCTGGAAGCAGTCATGGTCAAACTTGGTTTCAGTATGAATTTTGTTCGTCTAATCATGAAATGTGTTTCTTCGGTCAGGTTCACAGTTCGTGTCAATGGCGAGCTATTACCATATTTCACCCCTTCGAGGGGTTTTCGGCAAGGGGACCCGGTGTCGCCCTTTCTGTTTCTACTCCGCGCTGAAGGTCTCACATCTCTACTCAAGTTTTATGGAGGGGCACATGTTGATAGAGGGATTCGTGTTTCCTTTCGAGCGCCATGGGCAGTCAATCATGCAAAGAGTGCAATTTTCTTCTCCCCCAATACCCCATCAGACAGGAGGGCGGCGGTTAAACAAGTTCTGCAGATTGTGGTGGAAGCGTTCACAGAGAGATATTTGGGCCTCCCTACTGCAGTTGGGAGGATCACCAGCGGAACTTTTGAACACATGGGGGAGAGAGCAAGGAGTAAGATGTATGGTTGGGCGGAGCGCTTGCTAGCTTGTGCTGGGAGAGAGACACTCTTGAAATCTGTCATTCAGGCCATCCCCACATTCAGCATGAGTTGTTTTCGTCTGACTAAGAAGGTTTGCAAGAATTTGACGTCTTGTATGGCGAGATTTTGGTGGAGTGGATCTCTTGATAGACGGTCGATGCACTGGGTATCTTGGGATGAACTTGCATCTCCAAAAGTTTCAGGTGGAATGGGGTTTCGTGACCTGCAACTCTTCAACTTGGCTCTTCTAGGGAAACATGGATGGTGATTCATAACTAATCCAGACTCCCTATGTGCTCGTGTCATGAAAGGCCGTTATTTCCCTGATGGACAGTTCATGCAGGCTTCGGTGCCGCGAGCCTCATCGGCTATTTGGCGGGCAATCGTTGCAGGTCGAGAGGCACTGCAGACCGGGCTGTTGAGACGAGTTGGTAATGGTCAGAGTATATCGATTTGGGAAGATAAGTGGATCCCTGGTCTTGACTCTTTGAGTCCATCGGTGATGCCGGGAGGCACTACACTGGCTACTGTGAATGAGTTGATTGATGAAGAGAACTGGACCTGGCGCCGGGATCTGATTCGGAATGTTTTTATCCCTCCGGAAGCTGATGCTATTCTCAATATACCACTACGACATGGGGGTGGAGAGGATTTTATTGCTTGGGCTCATGAAAAGAATGGCAACTACTCTGTCAAATCTTCGTACCGTGCTCTCGTGACTCGCAACGAGCGTCTAGCTCTAGAGGAAGGGACGGTTCTTAGCACTTCACAGACTGATGGACAGATGTGGAAGCGTCTTTGGAAGCTCAATGTGCTGCCTAAAGTTCGGGTATTCTGGTGGAGAGTTGTTCGACAGCTTCTTCCGGATGAATGCACCTTACGGCGTAGGCATATACAACAACTTGGCAGATGCAAAGTTTGTTTGGCTATGGACGAGGATTTAATGCACGCTCTAGTGCATTGCTCGCACGCAAAGATGTTCTGGGCGGAGGCTTATTCATGGCTGGGTGTAGTCCGGCCATGTCTACACCCAGGAACTTGGTCGCGAGACATATTATGTGATGACAAGTACACAGATGTATAGAGGTCGCAGCTGATCTCCGTTATGTGGGCAATATGGCATTCCAGGAACAGAATTACACATGATGGTGACAGGCTCGATCCGGTTACAACGATTCGGCGCATCAAGGAAGACTTGGCTGTCTTAGAGATACCGCGGTCGTGTGCATCAGTGCTGCCAGGCCATGGGTGGAGACCCCCTGATCCAGGCGTCATAAAGGTTAACACTGATGCGGCTATGTGTATGGACACGGACAAATGTGGTGCGGGAGGAGTTGCTCGCTCCAATACCAGTTTGCTGGGTGCATGGTCAAAACCCCACCATGGGGTCACGGATCCTTTCATTGGTGAGACACTAGCACTGAGAGATGGAGTCATCTTTGCCAAACTTCGTGGTTTCTCACATGTGATTATGGAAACCGATTGCCTAGAGGTGGTGAACCTCTGGAATTCTCGTCACAATAGTCGGTGTGTTGTGGCACCGGTACTAGTAGAAATTGGAGAGCTAGCTTCCTCTTTTACTTATTTTTGTATCCAACATGTAATGAGGTCAGCCAATGTACCGGCACATCTTTGTGCAAAGCGAGCTAGCACATTGACGGTCACCGAGAGTTGGACTGATGATAGACCACCTTTCCTGCTCACTAGCCAGCCTTTTGGCTGATGATGCTAGGAGTTCGTTTGTTGAATAAAGCTCTCAAGTTTGAATGCAAAAAAAAATAAAAAAAATAAAAAAAAGAGCTGATGGCAGAGCGCGCACGCACGCGCGTACGGCTGAGGCCCAGACGGACACCAGGTCCCAGTACCAGGAGAGGACCGTATGGCTGCCCGGAGATCAACCTGGCAGGAGCAGGAGAGGGAAATCGAGCCAGGAACAACTCGTACGTTCAGGGACGTCATGGAGCGGTGCACGGCGCGCCGGGCGGACCCGCACCCGCACCCGCGCGAGCGAACTCGTAGGCAGGCGGCACGGAGACGAGAAATGGAGCTTGAAGGAATCGGCATCAGCTCAACCACAATCGTCTTCCTTCTCGCCCGCCGTGACACGGACGGATCCTTGATTCTTCTTGTCTTCTGCTCACATCAGACGATAGGAGAGGGATCGAAGGGAAGAACAAACTCAAAGGCCATGTCTTGCCGATAAGCAGGCCCGGGTTCGTTCCCTCGAGTGGCCTGTTGATGCAACACAAAATCAAAAATATGGCCCCGTGACCACAGCCTCAGTTCGCCGGCGCTTTGCCCGAAGCGGACAGCAAAGAACACGGTGCCAATCTTGCTCAGGCAGCAATGTTTGTTGAGCCCTTGCATAAATCTAAAGCACCTGACACGAAATCTCACAACATGACGAGAAAGCCTAACCTCACCGTTTCAAGGAGACGACAGGAATCATTCCGGCCAAAGCTCCGTCGACTACATCTAGACAGACGAATTCAAAGAAAAGCGCTGCCATCCGTCCGAGCACCGCACTTGCGATGACTAAAAAAAACCCTAAACTAAACTATTAACCAAAGCGGAGGCACCAGGAGTCTGCCGGATCGGCAGGCAAAGAGAACACGAATCCACGAGCTTGCCGGTGAAGCCTGAAGAGAAGAATCTGCCTTAACCGTTTAGGGTCAGGGAAGAAAAAACAAGATGATCTTCGTGGCATAGCACCTGCGTTTTGTATCAAAGATGACAAATTTATTAGATAGCCCAAAAGATAAGGAAATCGGATATGCATGAAAACGAAAACCAACATTCCAAAGAAACCGATGAAAACCATTAGAAAAAGATGTTTTGAAGTTTCGGAAAAACCTGGAAAAAAAATACGGGACATTAAGAGGATGATGTTTTATTGCCGCACAAAATTTCAAGTTGAAACAAATTATAATATGTGAGCTACGAAAAAGACCAAATCGGCGTTGAATAGCGCCGAACAATATGTGACTATTCAGGACAGAATTTGTCTTTTTCATAGCTTACATCTCGTAATATGTTTCAATTTAAAATTTTGTGTGGCAAAAAAAAATCACCCTTTTAACATCCCGTATTTTTTTTTGGATTTTTTTGAAACTTCAAAATATGGTTTCTAGAAAGTTCTTATTGAATTGGTTTTCGTATGACATTCTCCCATGAAGTGTGATGTTCTCCCATGAATGTCCACGTAGAGGATCTTTCTACCATACCGTGTCTCTACTCTGCTTCACCTTTGAGCACACGAAGCAGCCACGACCACCTTTGCCGCCCCGGCGGTTCTACTGGTCAGCTTGCTTGCTCGGCCGCATAAAAACACGTGTTTTGTCACACACGACAACATCCTCCGCTTGAGCCTTCCCGCACGGCTCACCCAAATAGCCTGGACTCATCCCCCGAGCGCCTTGCGAGCCACCGCCGGGAGAGGACCAAGAAGCCACCCACTCCGAGAAGCCCGCTCAGCTCAAAAGCGCCGCCCGCCCGGGGAGCTCCCCCGCACGCAATGAGCGGCGCACTGCCCGCACCACACCGGCCAACGACGACCAGCAGGTGGAGATGCTGCTAGCCGCGACGGCCTGCTGCTTCCTCGCCGACGAGGCCAAGAAGAGCCAGGACGGCGGCGGCGGGGGCGGGGGAGGGGGCGGGGGAGGAGGAGGGCTGGGGATTAGCCCGGTGGTCCTGGTCGTGGTGCTGGTGCTGGCGGCGCTCGTGTTCGTCTCCGGCCTGCTGCACCTGCTGGTCCGGTTCCTGCGGTGGCGCGCCCGCGCGCGCACCGGGGCGACGGAGGATGGGGGCAGCGAGGTGGACGGAGGAGGCGGAGGCCGGGGGGCTGGGGAGGAGTCGGCGCTGCAGCGGCAGCTGCAGCAGCTGTTCCACCTGCACGACTCCGGGCTGGACCAGGCCGTCATCGACGCGCTGCCGGTGTTCCTCTACGGGGAGGTGGTGGTCGGCGCGGGCGCCAAGGAGCCGTTCGACTGCGCGGTGTGCCTGTGCGAGTTCGCCGGCGACGACCGGCTGCGGCTGCTGCCGCTGTGCGGCCACGCGTTCCACATCGACTGCATCGACACCTGGCTGCTCTCCAACTCCACCTGCCCGCTCTGCCGCCGCGTGCTCGCGGCCGACGACGGCGGCGGCGACGCGGCCCTCCTGCTCGACGAGGGGTGGGGGCGGGAGGGGGAGGGCGCGGTGTTCCCCGTCCGCCTCGGCAAGTTCAAGAGCACGGCCAGGGCGGCCGGCCACGTCCAGCACGACGGCGGCGGCATTGTGGCGGCGGAGGAGGGCGACGCGGGCAGCAGCAGCAGCAGCCTGGACGCCAGGCGGTGCTACTCCATGGGCTCCTACCAGTACGTGCTCGCCGAGGCCAGCCTGCAGGTGTCCGTCCACCGGCGGCACGGCGACGGCGGCGCCGCGGAGAGGATGAGGGGCCCGAGAGGGGTCGTCGCGAACCCGGCCGGCCTTGGCGGCGGGGGCGGCGGCGAGGGGAAGAGGATCGGGGCCGGCAGCAAGGGCGACAGCTTCTCGGTGTCCAAGATCTGGCAGTGGCCGCGCAACGGCAAGGGGAAGCTCCCCGTGCTCGCGTCCGACGGCTCGCCGGCGGTGGACGGCGCGCTGCAGTGGCCGAGGAGGAGCGTCGGGGAGTCGTGACACCATGAATGAAAAGAAGAAGAAAAAAATGCTGTTTTTTTTGTTTTCTTGGTACGGTGCACCGCGTTCGTACTTGGTTGCGACTTGCAAACTCTCTAGAGCTAATTTCTAGTACTAGAAGTACGAGTGTTTTTGACTGCTCTTGAATCTGCTGATGATCACCATTAGTACGTATGTGCTTGCAAAACTACTGTGCTGCCGGTTTTAGAAATTCAGGGTGGCCTTCTAGGTTCATGATGAACTCTACTCATTTCTTCTCTTCTTTCTTTTTTGATTTTTTGAGGGAAACAATTTCTTCTGGTTAGAACTGCAAGTAAATCTCCCTCTAGAATTGCCATTGGAAGTACCTGTACCGAAATCACCAGGCCGTATTAGGTAGTGCTCACGCCCTTTTCGAAATGCAAGGTGCGCTTGATTTTGCGGAAATGTAAGGCACGCTTGATTTTACACGGTTTTATTTGTAGATGGAACATGTATAAACGGTGTTGTCGTATTTCTATCGCATTTTATTTTTAGAACTAATTTTATATACATAAAAGAGTGAAAATCGTAACCTACAGTCATGTAATGAAGACCAGAAAAAGTTCATGGTGCCTTGCAGAAAAGGAGGGAATGCTGCTAGTACCATGCTTGCTAGCCATAATAAAGCGACAACGATAACTGGCGACGTTAGCTGGGAGGGGATGGCAAGCGAACGTTAATTTTATTTTTTGCCAATTTTTGCTGCAAAATTTCCCTTCTTTCTAAAATTTGCCATGCATTTCTGAAGGAACTGCCAACCTCGCACAACTAATAAACTTGTCTCATCTACTAAAATGTCCAGATTTGCTGTCCTAAAAATAGGTATGCTCGCGCGCGTAGTTGCACTAGTATAAAAACTGCTGACTACCCCATCAAATACTCCCACAAGAGCGACTTTCAAAGTGCCGGTTACCTACTTCCAAATTTTCAGTACCCCATCAAATACTCCCAACTCTCAGGCAGTACGATTTTGTTTAGTGGGAGTACGTTCGACTTAGGCAAGCAAAGCGCGTGCACACGGGCGTTGCTTCACCTGGAAGCTCTTCCTTTTTCTTGCAAGACTCCTTTTTTTCGAAACTTTTTCTTGCAAGACTCTGATGAGAACGGAAGCGATGAGCCTGCACGCATGGCACAAGTGCACAGCCTTCACTCTAAATCACCCTCAATCCTCAATCTCGCGGGTGAGTGGTAATGCGACGCTACTGGATGTTATATGTTCTTGTTTTCCAAGTAAATAAGACCAAATTATATCTCATGGATGAGTTCCAGGTACTCCCGTAGTTAATGGCTGCGTCGACAGGTATGGTATGGTGGGCGCATCGCATCGGCCAAAACCGCGCGCCGATTCTGCCGCCGAGGACACGCTCGTAAAGCTGGCAGCTGCAGCTGCAAGAGACCGTAAATTAACTACAGTTTGCGGCTCGGCCCATCGCTTGGACTGCAGCGCTTATCGCGTAGTGGTAGCCTCATGTGACGACGCGCGGGGCCTCGTTTGGTCGTGCGTCCGTATCCGCCGTTAAATGAATCATAATAATACTGAGATTCAGTGAGGTGGCGGGATACATCCATCGGCGTCAATGCCATCTTTCCTTTTCCTTTTAGCTGGTTTTGGTAGGCGATGCTGCGACGGCCGGAAAGCTGGGTTTTGCCCTAGAGATGCAATGCAACTTACTGTGCTGTCCAAGATGGATGGAGCCGATTTTTTTTTACTCCTACTTTGTAATAATTTCCCAACAGGCGGCATCTTCCCAACCCGGGCACGCTGGCCGAAATCAGCGTGCGTGTCCGGATGTGTGCAAAGAGTTAATGGAGAACAGCGAGGTGAGGCCATATCCACCGCGCGACCCAAAACCGTCCGGGTCTGTCCGTTTGGGTTTAAACGGACAAATGAACGCGCAACCCCATCCGTAAAAAGACGCCCGTTTCTCGTCCGCTTTGCCCCATCTCGAGCCCAAATTTGGTTCGACTTTGCGGTCGAGCGGACAGCGAACGGACGCTTTCTCGTCTGCCCCGTCCGCTTTTGTCCGGGCCTAGATCCACTTGTCAATCTCCATCGGTCTCTCTCTCTCCTTTTTCTCTCTCTTTCTTTCTCTTTCTGGAGCATGCCCGCGTCGGCCTCTCCTCGCTCGCGCACCTCGCAGGACCAGCAGCAGCTGCAGTCCCCGCCGGCGCTCGTCTTCGCAGAACGTGGGCGGTGGGCGGGCGAGCAGGCGCGCGCGTGGGCGGGGAGCGTGAGGCGCGGCAGCGAGCGGGCGCGCAGGCTACAGCGCGCGCAGCACGGCGAGCAGGCGGGCGCATGGGACGGGGCGGGGCGCGCGGCGCACGGTGAGGCAGAGCGCGAGCTCA